GAAATTGAATGTCTTTAATATTCCTATTTTTTTCGCCCCCCCCCCCATGCTAGAAAACGGGTTTCGATACCTGTGATGGGCAGAGAACAGATAGCTTATTGTGTAGCTTTGTGCTAAGCTACAAACCAACAAAATCCTATTTTTTTCTTCTTAGATTAAACGCTATAAAAAGTTTTATTTACCTCTATTGTACTCAAGTTTCAAGAAAAGAACGAACAATTCACTTCTTCACTCCAACGTTTTGGAAAAATGTGTTAACTTTCTTAGAGTTTATAATTCGGTATAAAAAAGTCATGAATGTGTTGGCATGGTTTGTAACGGGTCAAGTGTTGCATGAAAATTGTGTTTGTTGTTGTTCTGGAAATCAAGATACGAGCAAGGAAAAGAAATGATATTGTGAAGTCGTGTCGCTAAAGCGGTACCATTTCATAGAGTCACTCTTTGACCTGTTTAACGTTTTGTTTTTAACTTTCACAAGTAATACATCAACCAACTATTAAATGGTGAAGCATTTAGATCAGCCACACTTTATGATATTAGAAAATTCCTTTCCAACTATTGAGAAAAGACAGTAGAAATTCAGTCACGTGTATGATCTAAGTATGTATGAAAAGGTTGAAAAATTGTCATTTTGATTTCTACTATTGTACGTTCACAAATGACCTACATCGTCGACAAGCCGTCACTGTCATTCGTTCGTCAATTTATAATTGAATTAGCAATAAAACCGTGTAATTTTTCTTACTAATTTGCTCTGACAAAACAGGGCGGTAACGAAAAGGTGACTTCAAACCAGGAAGACTATATAAAGTCCCTTGTGATATCCATCCAGCCGACATTAGCAACACAAGGCCTAACAACATGGATCAGAAACGGGTGAGTTGTAATCTACTTTCAGTTTCAACACCTAAATCTAACAGCAACAAAATAGTATTGTACGCTCACATATTTCGACTTCAAGTCTATATTCTGACGACTAGTTTTATTCTTTATATATATAAATCTCAGACTTTCTAACAGACTAAACACATCAATCTCAGGCTTTCTAACAGACTAAACACATTAATCTCAGGCTTTCTAACAGACTAAACACATCAGTCTCAGGCTTTCTAATAGACTAAACACACCAATCTCAGGCTTTCTAACAGACTAAACACATCAATCTCAGGCTTTCTAATAGACTAAACACATCAATCTCAGGCATTTTAATAGACTAAACACACCAATCTCAGGCTTTCTAACAGACTAAACACATTAATCTCAGGCTTTCTAACAGACTAAACACATCAATCTCAGGCATTCTAATAGGCTAAACCATCAATCTCATGCTTTCTAACAGACTAAACACATCAATCTCGGGCGTTATGATAGACTAAACACATCAATCTCGGTCGTTATGATAGACTAAACACATCAATCTCAGACTTTCTGATAGACTAAACACATCAATCTCAAGCTTTCTAACAGACTAAACACATCAATCTCAGGCTTTCTAAGAGACTAAAAACTATCTGTTTATAATCAGAGAAAAAAATAACAACTTGAATTTATTTTCTTCTTCTTTTTCAGATTTTGAAGTATGACGTCATTATAAAAGTATTGAATTAATGAAATATAGGTTTCATGCACTTTTTTTAATTATTATATTTTTTATATAATTAAGCATTAAGCTACCCAATGGGTAATCTATGATGTGCCCACCCTGGGTATCGAAACCCGGTTTTTAGCGTTAGAATCTTTCATACTTACCGCTGAGCAACTGGAAGCCTGATTTCTGTACTCATATCATTTCTGTAAGTTTTACTTGTACTTCTAAGCTGACCACAACAGCTTTATAAAATACAGATAACAAATTCTATTGTTCTTTTTATTTCGGTATGTTTTTTCTAAACAAGCAAAGGCAACGGTCAAAGTTAATAGTTCCTTTAAAAAATAAAAAAGGCCGCGAGCATATGCGTTGTATAAAAAGTTTTCCTGTCTTACAAAGTTACACAGGTACAGTTTGCTCTCACGAGACTTAATTACTGTTATTATATTTTCTATCTTTATTTCTGTTTTCCCAGTTTTGAAGTTCTTCTCGAAATGTACCATTTACCACAATGCATCAACTTTAGTTTGATAATAGTCAGATACTCTTGAACCCAGACGACTGAGTTTCAATAAACCACTCGTGCAAGATACTGTACACCGAAAGAATGATAATTAACTTATATATATATATATATTATTCACTTATTACAGTTGTTTCTTTCAACGTAGCTATGTATGTGTTTCCTGACTGGTTGATCGAAGTATTTTAATCTTATTAGTTAATGTGGTTATCTCTTCCAGATTATATTATTGATGTTTTTATTACTGAGGGCTGTGGTGGCAGACGATGGCTCCAACTCTGATCACAAGAGTCCAGATGATCTCAAAGCTGATGCTACAGGTTACGGAAATGGTGGGGGAGATACCATTACTATCCAGGTAAGATAATCAGTATTGACATGTGAGTTCCACACATTTTAACTACTTGATAGCCAAAATATCAAGTGGCTATATTAACGGTACCCACCGCCAACTCTTGGGCTACTCTAATAGAATAAAGTGATTGTATCTTCTCTCTTATAACACAACTACTGCCCCAAATTATTTTCGCGATTTTGTGTCAGCCGGGAAGGAACCATGGATCCTTCGATCCATAGTTTGGTAAGCTAATCACTAGGTCATACCCGACTTCAAAATGTAATGAATACTGATAGTTAAATTCGAATTTCAACATAGACATAGACAATTTAATTCATTTGATTTGTTTTGAATTTCGCACAAAGCTACATGAGGGCTATCTGCGCTAGCCGTCCCAGAGGGAAGACTGCTGGTCATCATCATTCACCGCCAACTCTTGGGCTACTCTTCTACCAACGAATAGTGGGATTGACCGTCACATTATAAAGCCCCCACGGCTGCAAGGGCGAGCATGTTTAGTGTGACGGGGATTCGAACCCGCGACCCGCAGATTGCGAGTCCAGCACCCTAACCACCTGGCCCTGCCGGGCCTTACAGTAAAATATTGGAAGTATAATTAAAATCAGCTTAATGAAGCTTATAGCACACATTCAATTACTCAAGTTTCGGTAAATCGATCACATTTACAGTAAAATATTCGCAGTGTAATTAAAACTTACGCACTGAAACCTACAAATCATTAACTAACTCAAACTTAAAATCTAAGCATTCAAACTATATATTTCTAACATACATCAAATTACTTAAATTTTCGTACAGTGATCCCAGTTAGAATAAGATATTGACAGAATGATTATAACCAATTTTGCGATGAAACTCAGACTATACAGTCAAGCGCCCTAACCACCTGGCCATGCCAGGCAAACTTAATTATACAAAAAAATCAAAGTCATAAATTTTACAAGACTGATTGTCTTCTGTTACTATCTCTATCTATATATATGTCTCAAAAACTAACCTCTTTGTTCTTCACGATTGAAAGTATTTGTTTATACTGATAACTAACTACATACTAGGATGAGCTGAGAACTGCATGATCGAACTATATCAGCATGGAACACACCACCGTCAGCTGAGAACTACATGATCAAACTATATCAGCATGAAACACACCACCATCAGCTGAGAACTACATGATCTAACTATATCAACAAGAAACACACCACCATCAGCTGAGAACTGCATGATCAATCTATATCAACACGAAACACACCACCATTAGCTGAGAACTGCGTGATCAAACTATATCAACATGAAAAACACCACCATCAGCTGAGAACTGCGTGATCAAACTATATCAACATGAAAAACACCACCATCAGCTGAGAACTGCGTGATCGAACTATATTAGCACGAAACACACCACCATCAGCTGAGAACTGCGTGATCAAACTATATCAACACGAAACACACCACCATCAGCTGAGAACTGCGTGATCGAACTATATCAACACGAAACACACCACCATCAGCTGAGAACTGCGTGATCGAACTATAACAACACGAAACACACCACCATCAGCTGAGAACTACATGATCTAACTATATCAGCATGGAACACACCACCGTCAGCTGAGAACTGCATGATCAAACTATATCAGCATGAAACACACCACCATCAGCTGAGAACTACATGATCAAACTATATCAGCATGAAACACACCACCATCAGCTGAGAACTACATGATCTAACTATATCAACACGAAACACACCACCATCAGCTGAAAACTACATGATCTAACTTATATGAACATGAAACACACCACCATCAGCTGAGAACTACATGATTAACTATATGAACATGAAACACACCACCATCAGCTGAAAACTACATGATCTAACTACATCAACACGAAACACACCACAATCAGCTGAAAACTACATGATCTAACTATATCAACACGAAACACACCACCATCAGCTGAGAACTACATGATCTAACTATATCAACACGAAACACACCACCATCAGCTGAGAACTACATGATCTAACTATATCAACATGAAACACCAAACTCTTTCTTATCTTCTGCTAGCTAAATGTCAGTTTGTACAAACTGTTGTTTACCTTTTTATTAAAAAGAGAAATTTGAAGAAATACACATTCTACTGGTAAACAACTTATGTTTCAAAAGGATTATTAGTAATACAAATCGAATCGTGTCTTTATTTTAACAGGCTGTTCCAATTGCTGCAGGAGGATACAGTGGAACGGGTAGTTACAGGGGAGGAGTAGGAGGGGGCTTTGGCGGGCTTGGTGTAAATAATGGAGATGGAAATAATAATGTTATTCTAGCAATCCTCGCAGTTCCCCTACGACTACAGAACACTGGGGGGCAAGGCGGGGCAAAAAGTGGAGGAGGAAGCTCCCAAGGAGGTGGAGGCTACAGACCTTGGTGGTATTGAAAAGGTGAATTGAATTGAATGAGTTTAGAAACATAATTTCATCTAGTTTGTGATAGTTAGTAAAAAACTGTGGTTGAGTTTGCAATGAAAGAACAATAGATAAAACTATATATAAACTAACCTTAAGTACGATAGATCATAATGCTCACATTTATCCTAACTATACATGTTCTACACAAACTTTAGCAAAATTGGTAACCATATCAGGAAATACCACTATCTGCAGCATTGTTTGGATAATAAAAGAAAGTATTGGGACTAGAAGAAACTAATAATTACGGCTAAGTTTCTGTTTAGATAGTAAAGGGTAGCTTAAGGAATAGTAAAAAACACTAGTGGATAGATTAAGAAACAGTAGAAGCTATTGGTCACGTCTAAGCTGATGTATGGACAGTAAAGGATAGATTAAGAAACAGTTGAAGCTACTGGTCACGTCTAAACTGATGTATGGACAGTAGGGGATAGATTAAGAAACAGTTGAAGCTACTGGTCACGTCTAAACTGATGTATGGACAGTAGAGGATAAATTAAGAAACAGTAGAAGCTACTGGTCACGTCTAAACTGATGTATTGACAGTAGAGGATAGATTAAGAAACAGTAGAAGCTACTGGTCACGTCTAAACTGATGTATGGACAGTAAAGGATAGATTAAGAAACAGTAGAAGCTACTGGTCACGTCTAAACTGATGTATGGACAGTAAATGAAAACTTAACAGAAGATATAGGCGGTAAGTTATAACTAAGCTAAATTTGTAGTTAAAAGTGACTTTAAGGAAGTTTAAAATATTAGTTATTACTGAGTTATCCAAATATTATGTGATAAATAACCTGTTTACATACAGTAGGCCCTTATGTTATATCTCGTAGATTCTCTTCGTTTTGTGTGATTGACTATGGACAACGAGATATCACTTTACTACATTGAACATCATAACCGAATAAACTGGACGGTCGGAATTGACAAAGTTAATATATAAACACGTGTTTAAAAAAATGGAGGGGGGGATACTTGCTAATTTACACAGCAGTTAATCCATAAAAATTTCAGTATTTCTCTTTAAATCAGCTAAATCGTGTAGCTACTATCATTTCAACTCCATTAATGACTCAGCCGGTATGAGAGGATAACATTTAATTTCTTATCTTTACTATAGGAATGAACTAGAACTAAGGTGGAGAGCAAAGGATTGTGCGTTTTAAATAAAGAATTTCTATTATTACTAAACACCAACTAAACTTGATAGCTTTCGCTAAGTGAACGTTCGGTTGTAGACTGTATCCCCTCTAACAAAACATACAGTTTTTATTTCTTTTCTTCTATTTATTTGTTCTTTAGGTCCTGGAGAAAACGTCACCTAATCCGTGTTAACTTCTGCACGTGACAATATTTGAGAATACATCAGCAGCACAAAGCTGACTTCAAGTCATTGCTTATATAAATCAATTAACGTACGGGAGTTTTACTTCAAGTCACTGCTTAATTAAATCATTTAACGGGAGTTTTACTTCAAGTCACTGCTTAATTAAATCAATTAACGTACAGGAGTTTTACTTCAAGTTTTCATATAACGTAGCTTTAAATCAGTAATTTCAAATATTGTATATTTTTGTTTTTTAAATATTATAAAACAAGCTTTAAAAAAATAAACAGAAGTTTTAAAAACTGTTTCCTCTTACTTATTACAAAGTTTCATAATGACTGAAATAAACATTTAATAGTATTCATTAAACGGTAATATTTATCAGAACGGAAACTAGTAGTTTGACACATAATAAACAAGTCGTAAGTTTACATGCTTTTCCATAGTTTATAGTAATTTACGGTATCAAGTTCAATTAATTCAAGATGTACTTTAGTTAATTACAGTAATAGATTTACTTCATATATGATATTAAATTCCTTAGATGTACTAGTGAATCTTTACATGTGATAATTCTGCTTTAGTGCTAAGTAATTCGGCTAAGTACACCCAGGTTCGCAGGTGTTCTTGGGCTAACGGTCGAAAACACCGCTACTATCGAGAGAACCCAACTGATGACCTAAGACAGAGTGGTAATAGAAGCTTTTTGTAATTAAGATTATTTGGTTTTAATTGTTATTCTATATTTTTAGTAGCTCTTCTGGTGAAGTTTATTACAGCGCCAACCAATAATGTTACATTTTGATGAAATACAAATAACGTAAACAATTTTTTATGAACTTGTTTTTATTCAAAACTCTAAGGATCAAACTTAACACTGTTATGTGTGAAGGAGGTTAAATGTTAGCTGAACAAACTTAACACTGTTATGTGTGAAGGAGGTTAAATATCAGCAAAACCTGCAAAGAAAATATATCAATTGAAATTTGCTGATTGCATAAGTATTCATCCATTAAGTCAGTACTTGGTGGAAGCACCTTTGGCGCTAATTACTGCTGTGTCTTTTTGGATAGGTCTCTACCAGCTTTGCACAATGGGATGGTGTAATTTTTGCTCATTCTTCCTGGCAAAATTGCTTCAATTCTGACAAGTTGGTTGAAAATCGTTGATGGACTGCAATCTTTAAGTCTCGCCATAAATTTTCTATTGGATTCAAGTCAGGACTTTGACTGGGTTACTTCAGGACATCCACTTTCTTTTTTTGAAACCACTCCAGTGTGGCTTTGGCCTTGTGCTTCTGGTCGTTGTCCTGCTGAAATGTGAATTTTCGACCAAGTTTTTATTCTTGGCTGACTCAAGCAGGTTTTCCTCTAGGATTCGTCTCTACTTGGCACCATTCATCTTTCCCTCAATCCTGACAAGCTTCCCAGTCCCTGCTGATGAGAAGCATGCCCATAACATGATGCTATCACAACCATGCTTGACAGTTGGGATGGTGTTGAGTGGGTGATGCGCTGTGTTGGGCTTGTGTCATACATAAAACTTTGAATTTACACGAATAAGCTAAATTTTTGTCTCGTCTGACCACAAAACCTTTTGCCACATGTCTACAGTATCATTTACATGCTTTGTAACAAACTCCATACAAGATTTAAGATGATTCTTTTTCAGTAATGGCTTCTTTCTTGCCACATGCCCATACAGGCCAGCTTTTTGCAGGGACTGGGATATTGTATGAACACTGACTCCCATCTCAGACATGGAATTTTGCAAGTCTGTCAATGTCACTGTTGGCTTCATAGCGACATCCCTAAACCGTTTCCTGCTTGCCTGTCTGTTTAGTTTGGAAGGGCGGCCTGATCTGGGTAGTGACTGAGTGGTATGAAGCACATTCCACTTCTTAATGATGGACTTCACCGTACTAAAAGAGATAATCAGCGACTTTTAATTTTTCGGTAAGAGTTCCATATGGCACCCCCACTCAATTTAAAAAAAAATTCATCAAAGTAATATTTATA